GGGCTGGGGATTCGAACCCGCCACCCTAGGTGTACGTGGCTGGCGCCCTAGCCGTTTGAGCCATAGGCGCCAAGCCAGATTTTTCTATAAAAGGAATGCCACATCCATCTTTTTACATATTGTATGTTATCGGAGTAAAAAATGATATCATGGATATTTATCAATTATATTAGGAGAAAAAGCAGGCTATAAAACAACACATATTATATGAAGTTTTCACAAATAGGATAAAAGTCCATATAACAAAGGCTGGGAGTTGGCTAATGGATGATTTGCACTTCTTTTATTTCATTATCTGTATTTACTTATTTTCTGTAATAAACACATATGGCTTTTGCAATTAAGAAAAAAAGTGGGAGTGGCTCAGCACTTGTAGCTCAGTGGCTAGGGAGCTGGCCACATACGCTGGGGCTGGTAGGTTTGAACCCAGCTTGGGCCTGCTAAACAACAATAACAAAAATAGCCAGGCGTAAGAGAATAGCTTAAGCCCAAGAGGCTGAGGTTACTGTGAGCTATGATGCCACAGCACTCTACCAAGGGTTACAAAGTGAGTCTCTGTCTCAAATAAATAAATAAATAAATACACAAATATACTAAAAGATTTTAGGGGGCAGAAAACTCATAGTCTTAAAACTGCTTAAGTCAATACTAAAATGAAGTTTATAATTCCCGAGCACTAAAGCTTTAGCATAGCAGTCCTTGAGAATGCCATTGGACAGAGAGAAATAGCCCTAATTATTTGTCCCAATAACTAAATATGCACCATTGATAACTATTAGGCAGAGGACCGAGAGTTGACTCTATCTGGTGTAAATTACAGATACCTGACTTGTGGAAAATACCAAGAGTGTGAAAAATAGCTAAGCATACAAAGAAACAACAAGCCCCATTATGTCAAAAGTTCCATTTAACTTGGTCTCTTGACCTATGGCTCACATCATCATCTCCCCAAGTAAACTCACAGTATCTTCCCTCAGGTAAACTGATGATATTTGCAAAATAATAAAGTTTTACCCTTATCAGGTAGTAGTCTCTCTTGAAACCCACACAGATAGAATTTTCACACCATGCCATGGATTTGGGCACATCTGGTACACTAAAGTCCCCCTGAAGAAAAGAGAGCAAGAATTCAATGGAAAAGGCATTAAAAAAAGTCTTGGCCTTCCTGTTATTCCACCTCCGTCTGCATAATAACCTTCACCCTCAGCAGCTGCGGCAGCTCCTACCCAACCCGTGGACTGAATAACAGTGCACCATACCTGCAATTCATGAAATTCCCTGTCTTTCCAGAAATAGAGCTGCAGCTTCTTTTTCACTGCCACACACATCCGCAACACCTCCTCACCAGTCTCTGTGTGCTGGGAAAAGACAACAGAGGAATGAGGACGCACATATAACTCTCCATACCTACTATCAGTGAGATTAGAGATTTTCTATCTTGAAATGGTTACTCATTTGAAAATCCCCAGTAACAGAGTCATTTTGCAGAAAACCTGAGCAGGAGAACAGCAGTCTAAGATGTACTCAGAAACAATCGGCTGTGGACCACTTCCTTCCCAGGGGCTGCCAGCCGAGGACCCCAGCACCAGTGAATCACATGGACATTCACGATTCAGAGAGGAAACTCCCAGGGCAGACCTTCCCCTACATAACCACTTCTTCTTTTTTTTTCCTTAGATGATTCTTTTTTTTTTTTTTTTTTTGAGACAGAGCCTCAAGCTGTCCCCCTGGGCAGAGTGCCGTGGCATTACAGCTCACAGCAACCTCCAACTCCTGGGCTCAAGCGAGTCTCCTGCCTCTGCCTCCCAAGTAGCTGGGACCACAGGCACCCGCCACAGCGCCCGGCCATTTTTTGGTTGCAGCCGTCATTGTTGTTTGGCGGGTCCGGGCCGGGGATTCGAACCTGCCACCCTGGGTGTACGTGGCTGGCGCCTTAGCCGGTTGAGCCACAGGCGCCGAGCCCCTTAGATGATTCTTACTCAAGGCTGTCAACACATGCTGGATCAGGGGTCAGCATGTGCCAGTGACAGCAAGCCCACTTTCAATCCTTTAAAGGAGTGGGGAAAAGAAAATTCCTAAGCATAAAACAGCACAGTATCAATGTAGAGCATAAATGCTAAAAAAGTGATCAGAGTAAAGGGGTGAGGCAGATTTTCAAGAATGTAAGGATGACAAACTGTCGATAATAAGGAGGGATGTCTTTTCTGAACAATGAAAACTCCCTAATGACAAAGACTACGGTGATCTGTTTAGAAGAATTGTCAATCTGATGTCCCATAACTATGTTTGCGATACTGCTACAGTCCGGCTTTCCTACTAATGATTTGTCCATGACAAGTGCTTTTACCTTTGGTTAATTGCCTCCTGCCATTAGCACCAGATTTTCATTAATTAATACATGCAGGGAACATACATGCTTCGATTTCATGCCACATACCAAAGGGGAAATTTCTCTAACAAGTCCAAATTTCTCTAAAACAATCAACTACTCAACTCTCTGTGGAGTCTCTGCTGGGTTTGGATCCTCAATGCCATTCTTCCCATATAATATATGGAATGACATAGGAAAGTCTGTGGTGACTGAAGGATAAAGCCAAATTTCACCTTGCAGACACCTACCTGCAGGTCACATGTGAACAGTGATGCTCCCTTTGCCTTTGAAACTGTAGTGATTTGTTGAAATGTCAAAAGGTCATGGACATAAACATTGTTTTCTGTTTGGGAAGAGGTAAAACATCAGTATAAATGATCACAGTTTTCTAGAATAGCCATCGTCAGGCAAAAAAGTAACTGTAACATCTAGAAGAAACAAATGGCAGATGTGGGTTGAAGATGTACTTGCAGTTTTACTAATTATGATTCATTTTGGGCTACAACCAGTACAAAACATTCAAGAGGTCACCTCTTCTAAACTTATTTTGTTTCTTAACAGTTGCAAATCAATGGTGGGGGGGGGGGAGGCAGGTCAAGGCAGGTGAAAACAAACCATCCCTGACCCGCCTCCATCCCATTGGTATGTGACTTTAAAAATCTGGGCTGACTTGAGTAAAACAGATCTTTCATTTTCAAGGTACTCTGTTTGTTTGTTTGTTTCAATTTTTTTTTTTTTTAATTGTTGGGGATTCATTGAGAGTACAAGAAACCAGGTTACACTGATTGCATTTGTTAGGTGAAGACCCTCTTACAATTGTGTCTTGCCCCCAAAAGGTGTGGCACACACCAAGACCCCACCACTTCGCTCCTTCCCTCTCTCTGCTCTTCCTTTCTCCACCCCACCCTCCTTCTGTCTCTCTCTGCTCTCCCCTTCCCCACCCCTACCATGTCATTAATTGTCCTTGTATCAAAACTGAGTACATAGGATTCATGCTTCTCCATTCTTGTGATGCTTTACTAAGAATAATGTCTTCCACTTCCATCCAGGTAAAAATATGGAATGCTTCACGAATTTGCATGCCATCCTTGCGCAGGGGCCATGCTAATCTTCTCTATATCGTTCCAATTTTAGTACAGGTGCTGCCCAAGCGAGCACTCAAGGTACTCTTACACTCTGTCCTTTTAAGTCTAGAAATTTGCAATGCTGTATTTGTACTAGAAATGGCTTTTATTTGTTTGTTTGAGACAGAGCCTCAAGCTATCCCCCTGGGTAGAGTGCTGTGGCATCATAGCTCACAGCAACCTCCAACTCCTGGGCTCAAGCGAGTCTCCTGCCTCAGCTTCCCAAGTAGCTGGGACCACAGTCGCCTGCCACAACACCCGGCTATTTTTTGGTTGCAGCCATCTTTGTTGTTTGGCGCCCCAGGCTGGATTTGAACGTGCCACCTTAGGTGTATGTGGCTGGCGCCTTAGCCACTTGAGCCACAGGTGCCGAGCCTAAAAATGGCTTTTGAAGCTGCATTAGTAGGTCCTATTAGGAAATAGAAATCCTCTGTGGATTTTGTACAAACCCATGTCATGGATTTTTTTCAAGCAAAGCAAGCAAAATAATAATTTTACCTGGGTTTCATATCTGGTTTTAGCCATGAAGTTTAATTATCTTAAATGTTTATCTATGGATGTTAAGAATTAAGTTTAAAATGATTCTACTATTTGGACCCAGACTTAAACAGTATGAGGCCAGCTTCTAGTCCTCTGTTTGTCAAGAAGAGGGCCCACTGACTATCTTCCATCAAACTTCAGTTTTGCAAAAAAGGCCCATAACAGTCTTGCCCTGATCTGTGTCTTATCTGATATCTTGTCACTCCTTACCATGTATCCTTAGTCTGGCCACAATGAACTACTTGCCACATAAATGCCACATCTCAGGGCCTTTGATGTAGTTGTTCCCTATGCCTATAATTCTCTGCCTACTTCTCTTCCTGTCAAAATTCTAAGCCACTGGACAATATAGCCCCTGCAGGATCCCATAACATTCTGATAAATTTCCACTGTAACTTACCACATTGTACTATTATTACTTTCTGTCATTCCCGTCTTCATAATCAGAATGTAAGTATCAAAGATAGCAACAATGTCACTGAACTTGGTATCCCCAATATCTAGCCCAGGCTTTACACAAAATAGGGCTCAATAAACATTTGACCCATTATTGAATGAATAAATGAAATAAGACTCTGTGGAGAGCAGAGTTCAAGTTTATGGGGGATGCTGTTGCCTTTATTACCTTCCTCTATCCAATGCGGAACACTAAGTAACTACTATCGAAGACACCATGGAAGGGTTAAAGCTTTTTTTTTCCTGACACATGCAATACAAATGCAACCTCTTTTCTTACCTAACAAGCTGACCAGAATCTTAAACTGGGAAACCACATGGATCTGGAAGATAGTAAATCATTAGACCCAATTAAACATTTCTGATAAGGTTTAGTAAATGTTCACTTAACAACAGTACTAAAAAGGGAGCAATGAGCCCAGTTATGTGGATTTGACTTATTTTTATGTGTAACCACAATTTCTGCTTATGAAAGAGGATCTCAGGCACATAATATACAGGCAGAGATCCCTGTAAAAATGGAAGGACAGAGAAAAGAAGATTCAAAGAGTTAATAAATAACATTACCAAGTTCTAGCTTATAGGGATCTCATATAAGTTAAATATTGTTGTATGACTGCCATCACTGCTCACCTGCTGGATCTTTTTGGAGAAGTTCTTATTGGATTTCTCTAGTGTTACTTCAAACCTGTTGCAACCTATGGAAAAGAAATGAACATTGGCAGTTCCAGATACAGGGACACATTTAAAAACAAGACCAAAAACACTGCTCCACACTGCTCCCTACATCAATCTTTAAAAATTTCTAGAAGACTAGAAGTCAGAGATCTAAAACAGCCAGCTTTCTCTATTGAGCACAGTAAGATGCTTTCACCTCCAATTTTAGAAAAGAGGGTTTCATGCACCTTCACTTGGCATCAGCAGAAAGGATCACACAAAGTTCACACGGTTTACTGAAGCTGCAAGGTACTTCTGAATCTGAAGATCTTGTCTTACAAAGTCAGTACCTTGGCGAAGCGTTTCATAAAGAAGAGTGTAAAAAAAGAATAGTCAAATACGAGAGCACAAGCAATGAAAACCAGCCCAAAGCATCCTCAGGTTTAGACCAACTCATCCCCAGCAGACACCCTATGTCGTGTATCAGGGGACAGAGCAAACACTCCACCCCATCTCCAGAGCTAGAGCAATTTAGTGCGTCTACACTTACTGCCACTTTCAGGTGATGCTACATCTGCTGGCACTGTCGCAAAAAAGGGGAAGAAAGTTACATACCATAAAAACATGAGAATTTGGCCTTGCTGGGTATGACAAAAATATTCAGCCTCAGAAGTCACCAAAGAGTCAAAAAGAGAACCATTATAATAATAACAGCAGCTCATTAAGTCTTGCCCTTAGAGGGGCAAGACTTAAGCAATAACTGGGTGCCAGGTTCTGAGCTAATGAAAATTATATACATATGTTTATTTTCTGTAACCCTATTAGCTACCCCCAGGAAATAGGCATTACTATTCCAAGTTCATATTTGAAGGGTCAGATGGGTCAAGGCAGTTAGGGAGCAGCCAGTGAGAAACGAGAGCCTTGAAGCAAACTCAGGCTTAACTCTGAAGCCTGGGCTCCGAGCCTGTACCCTGCCACCTGCCTTCTACTTCATGGAGGGGATGCCCGCACTGCTGGCACGGGATGTTTCCCACAGCTAGCTGTGCCCTTGCCTCTTGGAAGTCAATGGAGACTCTCTGAGGCAGTTACAACAATCAACACCCCCAAACCCGCTTTAACTTCCTCTATGTACCCCTCGGCAGAGGAGATGAAGAAGGGGCCCTAAGGTCACAGAAACATGCCCTGGTATTCTGCTGTTACATTTCACCAGGAAAAAAGAAATTCACCCACTTCCTACTTGATAAAGAGTTCTGTATTTGACAAGTACCTTCTCAACAATTCTCTTTATAAGCAGAATTGCATAAGGCAGAGATTTTCAAACTTTTTTGTTTCAGGATCCCTCGATGATTTTAAAAATTACTGAGTACCTCAAATGTTCATGTAGGTTACATATATGAATATTTATCATATTAGAAATTAAAACTGAGAAATTTTAAAAATATGTATTAACTAATTTTAAAAGAACAGTAAGTAGTCTGTTAACATAAATAACATTTTAACAAAAAATATTTATCTTTACAAAATGAAAAATACACATTGTATAACATTTCTGCAAACCTCTTTAAGGTCTAGCATAATAGAAAAAAGCTGAACTCTCTTATCTGTTTCTGCATTTGATCTGTTCTGATGATTTGTTTGGGTTGAAATATATGACAAAAATCTGTTTTTAAATAGATATACAGTTGAAAAGGGAGAAGTACTTTAATAAAGCTTTTTCAGGTAATTGTGATCTTCTATTTTGACACTATACCAAAACTTGACAAAAGTAGTTTCTTATAATGTGAAACCTCAAAACTACATATGAACTTTTCACATTCAGTTTCACTAAAATCCAGTGGTCTATTTTACACTTGGAATGGATCTTTTCCTCATGTATGATTTTAAACCTTTGTACAGCTGGGTGCAGTGGCTTGCACCTGTAATCCTAGCTCTCTGGGAGGCTGTGGAGGGTAGAGTGCTTGTGAGCTCAGGAGTTTGAGACCAACCTGAGCAAGAACGAGACCCCCATCTCCACTAAAAATAGAAAAACTAACTGGGTGTTGTGGTGGGCACCTGTAGTTCCAGCTACGTGGGAGGCTGAGGCAAGAGGATCACTTGAACCCAAGAGTTTGAGGTTTCTGTGAGCTAGACTGACACAATGGCATTCTACCCAAGGTAATAGAGTGAGACTCTGTTTCAAAAAAACCCAAAACTGGCTCGGCGCCTATAGCTCAACTGGCTAAGGCACCAGCCACGTACACCTAAGGTGGCGGGTTTGAATCCCCAGCCCGGACCCGCCAAACAACAATGACGGGTGCAACAAAAAAATAGCCGGGCATTGTGGCTCCCAGCTACTTGGGAGGCGGAGGCAGGAGACTCGCTTGAGCCCAGGAGTTGGAGGTTGCTGTGAGCTGTAATACCACGGCACTCTGCCCAGGGGGACAGCTTGAGGCTCTGTCTCAAAAAAAAAAAAAAAAAAAAACAAATAAACAAAAAAAACTTCATGGGGCAGCGCCTGTGGCTCAAAGGAGTAAGGCACTGGCCCCATATGCCGGAGGTGGCGGGTTCAAATCTAGACTGAAAAAAAAAACAAAAACAAAAAAACTTCATGCATTGGTCATCTGGAAAATATTTAGTTCACTGAGTTAGGCAGATTTTCCAACTGTTGGCATATTTCATCATAGGATATTTTTTAAAATCACACTCCTCATCATCACCTTTAATCTCATCAGAAAAAAGTTTTGAGTTGTGAAAAGCTGTTAAATTCATGAAGTAGACACAAGCTTTCCACAATTTTGATCTTCTTTTGAAAGCTCTAATATCATTCACAACAAATACTGCCAATTTTTTTCTTTGAAGTATCAGACTCCTTTTATTCTTTTTTTTTTTTTTTGAGACATAGTTTTGCTATGTCACCCTCGGTAGAACTCTTGGGCTTAAGTGATTCTCCTGTCTCAGCCTCCCAAGTAGCTGGGACTAGAGGTACCCGTCACAAAACCCAGCTATTTTGTTATTGTTGCAGTTGTCTTTATTGTTTAGCAGGCCTGGGCTGGGTTTGAACCCACAAGCTCTGGTGTACGTGGCTGGCACCCCACCCACTGAGCTACGGGCACCAAGCCTATTCATTTTTTTTCTAATCTGCCAAATATCCAAATGGTCTGAAAAGCCATAGCCTGTCAGTCATTCTTTCAAGCAAAAGGGATGCTCCATGAGAAGAAGTGTCCAGTTCAGTTTATAACTTAAATGACTGCACAAGAGTAAGGACTTGTCCTAGAGAGAGTCATTGGACTTCACATGTTAGCACACAGAAGTGCTTTGTATGTACTTCCCATTACGCTGTAAGAAGCCATCAAAATCAGGTATTACCTATAGTCAAAATACAATAAAATTAATAATTTTTACTGCCTCGCCAAGAATATTCTTAAATGAAACTAGCTTTAAAAAATTTAAATCGGGTCAGTCATCATGGCTCACACATGTAATCCCAACAAATCCCAAAAAGACTGAGAAGGAAAGATGCCTTGAAGCTAGGAGTTCAAGGCTGAAATGAGCTATGATCCTATGATCACATCACTGCTCCTCAGCATGGGTAACATAATTAAGATCCGATCTCTACAAAAAAGTAAGAAAAAATTAGCCAGGCCTGGTGTTGTATACCTACAGTCCCAGCTATTCCAGAGGATGAGGTGAGAGAATATCCTGAGCCCTGGAGTTTGAGGATGACTAGGCCACTGCACTTTAGCCAGTGGAATTCCATCTCTTAAAAAACAAATAAACAGGCTTGGTGCCTGTGGCTCAAGCGGCTAAGGTGCCAGCCACATACACCCGAGCTGGCAGGTTCGAACCCAGCCTGGGCATGGTTGCAGCCATCATTGTTGTTTGGCAGGCCAGGCTGGAAAAAAAAAATAGTTGCTGAATACAAACTGAGGTGAACTTAATTTTTAAATTATAAACCAGGTAGATGTCACAGAATACAAATAATCCGGCTCTGAGAAATAAAAATTTAAAGGAAGGATCAGTGACATACTATAACCCTGGGCTAAAATGAACTCTCTCTGTTTTTATAAATAAAGTTTTATTAGAACACAGCCATACCCATTCATTTACTTACTGTTTATGGTTGCTTTCATGCTACAGTAGCAGAGTTGCGCAGTTACAACACAGATCTTATGGCCCACAAAGCCTGAAACATTTACTGTTTGGATGTTTTTGGGAAAAGCTTGCTGACCCCTTATTTAAAGGAAAGTTGAAAAACTTAGAAATAAAACAAACTTCCTATTTTGTTCACTGGTTTCTCTTCTACTCCCACCACAGAACCTGACCAGGGTGCCTTCCTCTTTCACTACTGCATCTGTATAGGATGCTATTTTTTCCCAGCGTTATCCTTGTTCCAGGTTCAAAAAAAACTATTACCAATCTATCTTAAAGTATTTACTACAGAAATATATATTAGGCTGAAAGGTATGAAACTGCTATCTTTCTAAGTCTAACACAGCTGAATAATAACAACAGCTCAACCTATTCTGGCATTAATAGTAGGTTTCTATAAACTGGGGCTCCCTGGAATAATATCCAAACACATTTATTTTCCATAAATAGAGTACAGAAATAAAGTTAGGAGCGAGTGCAGAGGCTCACACCTGTAATCTTAGCACTCTGAGAGGCTGAGGCGGGTGGACTGCTTGAGCTCAGGAGTTTGAGACCTGGCTGAGCAAGACTGAGACCCCAACTCTACTAAAAATACAAAAATTAGCTGGGCATGGTGGCAGTCACCTATAGTCCCAGCTATACTGGAGGCTGAAGCAAGAGGATCACCTGAGCCTAGGAGTGTGAGTTAGAGCTATGCACTCTAACCAGCGTGACAGAGTGAGATTCTATCTTAAAAACAATCAATTAATAAATAAAGTTAGGGAAAGGAGTGAAGTATTTTCTTCCCCACAATAAAGGATGAATAAATATCAAATACCCTAGTTATTAGTCTCCCTTATAACTGATAAAGTCATAATTGATTAGTGCTTTCATTTTCAAAGTCCTTTCATGCCTATTATTGCATCTGCCCTCCCGCTCAATTTTGTAAAACAGACAACATAGAAAATGGATATTGTAAAGGATTTGCTCACAGACATGTGGCCAGGGAGAATTAATAAGTGGGCCCAGGTCTTTTCTTCCTAGTCTATCCTTTACAAGTTAAAAAGACACATATACTTTTTAATTTTTATTTATTTTTGAGATAAGGTCTTGCTCTGTTGCCCCAGCTAAAGTGCAGGGGCATCATAGCTCCCTGCAATCTCAAATTCCTGGACTCAAGTGATCCTCCTGCTTTAGCCTCCTGGGAAGCTGAGACGATAGGCAGGCATCACCACCATGCCTGGCTAATTTTTAAATTTTTTGTAAAGACAAGGTCTCACTATATTGGTCAGGCTGGTCTCAAACTCCTGACCTCAAGTAATCTTACCTTGGCTTCCCAAAGTGCTAGGATTATAAGCATGAGCCATCAAGCCCAGCCCAAGATCTTTTTTATTTATTTATTTATTTATTTTTGAGACAGAGTCTCAATATGTTGCCCTTGGTAGAGTGCTATGGCGTCACAGCTCACAGCAACCTCAAACTCTTGGGCTTAAGCAAATCTCTTGCCCCAGCCTCCCAAGTAGCTGGGACTACAGGCACCCACCACCATGATGCCCGGCTATTTTTTGGTTGTAGTCGTCATTGTTGTTTGGCAGGCCTGGGCTAGGTTTGAACCTGCCAGCTCTGGTGTATGTGGCTGGCACCCTAGCTGCTGAGGTACAGGCAACCATGCCCCAAGAAGATCTTTTAAATGGTGGATTGCCTGAACTCATGGGCTGCTCCTAATTTTTTTCCCCTACTATCCCACCATTTATATAGCAATCTTATTCCCACCAGAAATATTTCTTTTACTGCTATTGAGTCTCAAAAAAGTGAACAGGGAAGAACATTCAAATCCACCTGTCAGTTGGGGTAGAAGAATATAGTTTGGGGGAAACCTTGAGATTCTCACATGCTTCTTTCCATATTCCTACAGTGTTCTCTCCAACCCTCAATAACTCTTTTTGGTCTGGGAACTACTGATTTCACAGTTGCACAGTAGTCAACTATCAAAACTTTGCTCTTCATGAGCAATAAGCCATCTCTTTCTCAGTTCTGGAAAATCTGCCACTTACCAACATCCTTCCGAATCCTGTAGAGAAGAAGATGTCCTTGTTTGGTTCCCACAAGAAGCCATTCCTCTGGAAAAGAAAAGAACTATGAGAAAGGTCAATCAGCTTTAGTAAAACTCTGTTTCTTTTTTCTTTTTTTTGTGACAGAGTCTTACTTTGTCACCTTCAGTAGAGTGCTGTAGTGTCACAGCTCACAGCAACCTCAAACTCTTGGGCTCAAGAGATGATTCTCCTGCCTCAGCCTCCTGAGTAGTTAGGACTACAGGAGCCCAGCACAACACCCGGCTATTTTTAGAGCTGGGTATCATTCTTGCTCAGGCTAGTCTCAAATCCATGAGCTTAGGTAATCCACCTGCCTTGGTCTCCCAAAGTGCTAGGATTACAGGTGTGAACTACTGTGCCCAGTCAAAACTCTTCTATTTCTTTAGCTGGGGCTTGTAACCAGAAATCAAAGTGCCAAGAAAATGAATTGCTTTTACTAGCAGGTGCTCCTTGCAAAGCTAAGGGAAGTTTATATTCAAGAAATGTTCCAGACTCAACCAATAAAAAAAAAAAAATTATTTAACAATTATTAGAGAATAAAAATGTCCCTGGTTTAACTGTTTCAAAATTAAACTAACCAAAAAGATATAAGGGATTTTTATTTTTATTATTTATATCTTTTTTTTTTTTTTTTTTTTTTTGAGACAGAGCCTCAAGCTGTCCCCCTGGGTAGAGTGCCGTAGCATTACAGCTCACAGCAACCTCCAACTCCTGGGCTCAAGCGAGTCTCCTGCCTCAGCCTCCCAAGTAGCTGGGACCACAGGCGCCCGCCACAACACCCAGCTATTTTTTGGTTGCAGCCGTCATTGTTGTTTGGCGGGTCCGGGCTGGGGATTTGAACCCACCACCTTAGGTGTACATGGCTGGCGCCTTAGCCGCTTGAGCTATAGGCGCCGAGCCTATTTATATCTTTTTATTAAGATACATATTTAGTTAAGCTAAAAATAATATGATGGTAGGCTGGGCACAGTGGCTCGAGCCTATAATCCTAGTACTCTAGGAGGCTGAGGCAGGGGGACTGCTTGAGCTCAGAAGTTTAAGGCCAGCCTAAGCCAGAGCAAGATCCCTTCTCTAAAGACAGCCGAGCATTGTAGCGGCCACCTCTCATCTACTCAGGAGGCTGAGGCAAGAGGATTGCTTAATCCCAAAGAGTTTGAGGTTGCTGTGAGCTATGATGCCATAGCACTCTACCAAGGGTGATAAAGTGAGATTCTGTCTCACAAGAAAAAAATAATGATATGATGGATGTTTATAAAATGATAAAGCAAATAATATAAACATGAAACTTGGTATTCAACCTCAGAAATAACAGCTATGCGAAACCCTTTGAAGGTTTAATAATTTTAATTTAGGGACAATAATGCCATAAGCTTACATAATTCCTTATCTCAAAAGACAGTCTAGCAGATAATAACAGTGTTGATAAGAATGTGAAGAAATTAGAACCCATTTGTACATTGCCAGCAGGAATGTAAAATGGTGCAGCCACTTTGGAAAACAGTCTAGCTGTTCCTCAAAAGGCTAAACAGAGTTATCCTATGACCCAGCAATTCCCTTCCTGGGTGGAAAAAAGTAAGGAAAGAGAAAACAAGAAAACAGAAAACATACACCCACACAAAAACTTGTACACAAATGTTCACAGCAGCATTATTTGCAATAGCTAAAAGGTAGACACAAACCAAACACCTGTCAACTGGCTAAACAAAATGTGGCGCATCCATACAATGGAATATTAGCCAGTCAGTAACAGGAACGAAGTACTGATGAAGTTTGCAAACTCATCCTTGGAAAAAGTGCTACATACCTCATTGCTGAATATCACTACGGTTACCAGATGGCCCAGGGGAGTACCTCAAAGGTGACCACAGTGATATTCAACAATGAGGTATGTAGCACTTTTTCTAGGCTGGGTTTGTGAACTTAATTGTCTGACCTTGGATGCTACAACATGGATAAATGTGAAAACACTGGATCAAGTGAAGGAAGCCAGACACAAAGGCCTCATGATTCCATTTATATGAAATGTCCAGAACAGGCAAATCCACAGAAAGGAAAGATTAGTGGTTGCCTAGGCCTGGTGGGGCGCAGGGGGAAATGGAAAGCAAATGCAGATGGGTACTGGGTTTCTTTGGAGGGTGATAAAAATGTTCTACAATTAATTATGGTGATAGTACATTCACTACCCTGTGAATGTACTAAAAAACTACCAAATTATACACTTTAAATAGGCAAATTACATAAGTGAATTACATCTCAATAAAACTCCTACTGAAAAAAAATGATGGTCTAGGCCAGCAGTTTTTAAACTTTTATGTGTGTCAGAATTATTGGAGAGTTTGTTCCAATACTGGGCTCTGCCCCTAGTACTGATCTAAGCTAAAAATAAAGAGGTCCATAAAAGGTTTAAATAATTGCCCTGATAGATCCATATTACATCATTTGGGGAAGGCAAACATGCACAGATATTTCTCAGCTTTGTGATTAACATAAAGGTCCCTCATTCCTTTCATAAACTCTCTTTTGATCCTCTGTAAAACAAAATAATGAATAATGGTATAAATAGATAACCTTTATTTCATAAGCACTGTGTTTTAGGCAATACTAAGTTTATATCATATGTTATTTCACCAATCCTCACCATTATCCTTTGAAGTCCTTTTTTTAAATCCCCATTTTATGGATGAAGTTGAGGCCTTGTCCAGACTCACACCAATGATAAGTGGCAAAACTGGAATTGCAACCCCAGATGTCTGACCCCTAACGTAAGACATGCCATGTCAGAAGAACGTCAGCCAGAGGCTGTCTGAAAGGCAGGAGTTCTATGTTTATAAAAACAGATCAAGATCCACATTCATTTCTCTAGGATGATGTTCTTAGTTGTCCAGAAAAAGACAGTGATTCTATTTTATGTCTTAAAGTTAAGGCAAGACACAGAAAGTAAGACACAGTGTGCTCTTAATGACATTAGCTGAAATCAGAAATAACACTAGCTTCAGTGGAATGCTGGAGATTTATGCAGGAGTGGAACATGGAAAAATATCAGTTTGCAATGTTTGATTTATAAAAGACACTATGTTTAGAATTCTGTTATTGACATCACTATATGGGACAATGTGGCAATACTAAAGCTGATTTTTAGGACTTCCACTGATATTTCAGATATAAATAAAATGAAGAGAGGTTAGGTATCGTGGCTCACAAATGTAATCCTAGCACTCAGGGAGGCAGAAGTGAGTGGATTGTTTGAGCTCATGAGTTAGAGACCAGCCTAAGCAAGAGTGAGACCCCATCTCTACTAAAAATAGAAAAATTAGCTGGGCATGGTGGCAGGCACCCGTAGTCCCAGCTACTTGGGAGGCTAAGGCAAGAGGATCACTTGAGTCCAGGAGTTTGAAGTTGCTGTGAACTATAACACCCGCACACTCTAGCCTGGGGCAACAGAGTGAAACTGTCTTAAATAAATAAATAAATAAATAAAAATAAAATAAAGTAGGGCGGCGCCTGTGGCTCAAAAGGGTTGAGAGCCAGCCCCATGTGCCGGAAGTGGTGAGGTGGTGGGTTCAACCCCAGCCCTGGCCAAAATAAATAAATAAAGTAGAAATTTTTAAAAAGTTCACTCATAACATCTATAAAAATCCCATAACCAAAACAAAAGGCAACGTAATGTTCACCAGCGTCCTCATCCCTCTCTCTTCACTCTGCCCCATAAATCCTTGCCAGTTCCTGGGGGTTTTTTTGTTTGTTTGAATCTCTTTTAAACCCTCAGTTTCTGAATGGGTGCCTGTAGCTCAGTGGCTAGGGCGCCGGCCACGTACACTGAAGCTACCGAGTTTGAACCCAGCCCCGCCCTGCCAAACAACAATGACAACTATAACCAAAAAAATAGCTGGGCCTTGTGGCGGGCACCTGTAGTCCCAGCTACTTGGGAGCTGAGGCAAGAGAATTGCTTAAGCCCAAGAATTTTAGGTTGCTATGAGCTGTGATGCCACAGCACTCTA